TTCTCAATTAAATTGCAAAAATCATTATATGGATTGCAACAATTCGGACGCATGTGATATATCGTCTTAACGAATATTTGTTGAAGAAAGATTATAAAAATGGCGATGTCTGCCCATATATTTTCATAAAGAAAACAAATATTGAATTTGCAATTGTGACAGTTTATGTTGATGATTTAAATTAATTAGAACTTTTAAAAAGTTAAACAAAACTGCAAATTATTTGAAAAATGAATTTGGGATGAAAGATTTGAAAAAAAACAAATTTTGTCTCGGGTTGCGATTGAAAAATTCCCAGAAGAATTATTAATTCATCAATCTACATATATAGGAAAGGTTTAAAACACTTTTATATGGATAGTGCATATCCATTGACATCACCTATGGTTGTTCGATCAATTGATGTGAAAAATATCATTTTCGTCCACTTGAAAATGGAGAAATGATTCTTGGTCTTGAAGTACCATATCTTAATACAATTGGAACATTAACTTATCTTGAAAACTGTACTCGGCATAACATAACTTTTTCTGTAAATCTCCTTGTTGTAAGATATAGCTTTACATCAATACAAAGACATTAGAATGATGTTAAACATATTTTTCGTTACCTAAATGGTACTATTGGTTTGAGATTATTTTATTCTCAAAAGTCGAGATTTACTTTAGTAGGATGTGCAGATGCATGTTATCTCTCTAACCCACATAAAGTTAAATCACAAACATGATATGTGTTTACACGTGGAAGAACAGATATATGATGGAGATTGAAAATATGTATGGTCGAGGAACGACCCATCATATCCAAGTATCATGCAAATTAATTTCAACAAAAGATAGTCCAACAATTTTGTATGAAGACAATGCTATTTGTATTGCACAACTCAAAGGAAGTTATGTCAAAGGTGATAGGACGAAACATATTTCTCTAAAATTCTTTTATACACATGACTTTCAAAAGAATGATGACATCGATATTCAACAAATTTTTTCAAGTGACAATGTGACTGATTTATTTACAAAAGCATTGCCAACATCTACATTTAAGAAATTGGTTCAAAAGATTGAAATGTGTCGACTCAAAGATTTTTAGTGATCAACATCAGGGGTAGTAGCTGCACTCTTTTTCCTTCGTTTAGGTTTTATCCCACTGAGTTTTCCTAACAATGTTTTAATGAAACATCATTTATCTTTAACGCTCCAAAATGACTGTACTCATTTTCTTTCGTTTGATTTTTTTGTCCCATTGAATTTTTATCAACCAAGGTTTTAACGAACATATATTTTGTAATATGTCATTTAAGGGGAGTGTTGTAAATGGTAATTTTATTAGTGAATCAGAATTGCACTCCTACAACCTTAGAAATTATTACCATTGTATTTTTAATTATGCCCTATAAATTTAGGGTTTTGGTTCTCATTATAATACAAACAACTTTATGGATTTTTATTCTCTCTTCTCTTATTCTTTCTTTTGACACCATATTTTATAATTTTAGATGTTTCATATGCATTATTTTAATTTTTAAAATAATTAAAATTTTAAAATAATGTTCTTAAAAAAATGTCTCCCCTAGGCTCGCGCTAACGCTGCTTTTAATTAATCTGATCATTGTAATATAGGGCTCTCAGTTTGTTCCCTCTTTTTGAGAAGATTCGTTTAATTTTCGTTCCAAAATCGCAACTTTCTCCTGCAAATTATGTCTTTCATCGATGAATTTCAATCCAGTAAGTACCACTCCTCTTTATACCTCGATTTTCGTATGGTTTCACTTCGTAGTATGACGTGTTTGCTTCGAAACCCTGGATTATCAAAATGTAACAAATGAACATGAATTCTTAACTTTTTATTGAATTAATTATATTTTTTGTTCCCTGGTCACTTTGAATTGATTATTGGACAGAAAAAAATTGGTGCTTCTGCTTTTATTATTATTATTATTTTTTTTGTTACGTTATTTGAGATGGTTTATTGGGGGAAATTAAGATTCCATTTCACGCTTCATTTCTACTTTTCAGAATTTATGTTTTTTGTATTATTTTCTGTATAATTAATACCATGGATTTCTTGTATTCATGATTGAAGAGTCATTGAAGTTTTTTTTGTTTTAATTAGATTTGGAAGCATTACCAAATACTTTGCAAAGGAAGTACTCATTGTTGCACGATTTGGATAAAAGTTTACAAGGTATGTGTTTAACAGTTTAAGCGATTGAAAAGTATAGTGTTTATGTTGCTATTTTTTGTTTCAAGAATTGTTTTCAAAACTTTTTATGGCTTTGCTTTATGTAGGATATAGCTCAGAAAAGAAGTCAATCAAAAGTTACCATTTCAACTGGTCTGCTTTATCATGTTAATGTACTCTTATTTACCTATCTATTATTTGTTTGGTGTGGGTGAAATATTTTCAGTAAAGCAAAGATTATGAAAGTAAAATATAGTTGGCAGATTTTTTCTTATGGAAATGCCTATAGATCGTTTGGTACACCATATTGGATTAGGCAATAGGATTAGGGAGGATCCGATTAGGGGAAACAGGATGAAGTTGGATAATGGATAATTATTGTAATACATTATTTTGGTGCTACACTAAAATTAGAAAAACGGAAGTATAGAAAAAAAAAAATTTATTACAATATTTTTATTTTTAAGCAGTTTTTCTTACTTAGAAGTTTTTTGATTTATAAGTAGAAATTTACATATAAGTGAAATTATTAGTTATAAGTAGTTTTTTTACATAAGTAAAAATTTTTACTTATGAGCAATTTTGTTTTTTACCATATAACTACAGTTTTGCTTATACATAAATTTTCTTTTTTTTTCTACAAAGATGTTTTGATAATTTAATTTTTTCTTACTTTTAATTACAAAAGTATTTTTTTAAAAATGTAATTTGACAGCACATCACTACATTAAGTTTCTACTTTCGTTTATCAATTTTAAGTCTCTGTTTCACCATGTATATGGACAGAAATCCAGCGACAAAATGAACAACGCTGTGAGCAGGAAATAGATGATATGAAGCGTGGTATTAAGTCTGGTAACATTACACCAAATTCGTCACTTCTAAAATTCTCAGATGACGCTCTGGATGAGCAGAAACATGCCATCAGGATTGCTGACGAGAAAGTTGCATTGGCTATTCAGGCTTATGATTTGGTACAAACAAGAGAAAGCCCTTCTTATAATATGAATGAATGTGTTTTTCTGCTTGCTTTTGTTGTATTTCCTAATAAAATAGAAACTTTACTGTGATCGTTCAATGATGTTGTGCTCTAACCTTTTTGTATGATGTGGCTTTGGGTCTTGAATTATCTTGATCTTCATGTTTACTGTTTACACTATGTCTTATTTCAATGGTTAGACGAGGAAACTGGTGGAAAGGTTATTGGTGGACCATTTGTCCTTGTTTGATGGTAAGCATGTTAACTGTATTGATCTACAGTGAACTTTCTCTGCTTAATTTTTATCCTGCAGATGTTTGATTCTGTAGAAAAATTTGAACTCCTCACTTTTGAACATCTGCCGCAGCTTTTACAATTAACAAAATAGTTTTGATTTAAACAATTGTCTTGGAATTTTGCGGCCATTATCTCTTGTGCTTTTGAATGGGTAGAACTTTAGATAGAGTGCAAATATGAGGGAAAAGGCTAGCGGACATTTAAGCTTCTGATGAAAAGATTTAAAATGCTAAAAATTATCGGAAGGAAGAAAGAGAAGAAGAAACTCTTAGCATGACATCTAGTTTGCAATACACGTGTATTATGAATTAGATGCACTACAATGCATTAATTTCATCTAAGAGTCCTAGTCCTAGTGAAATTCTTGTTTTCTGGAAACTAAATAAAATACTGACTGAAGTAGTTACTATAACTTGATATAAAAAAGATGTGACTTGCACAAACCTGTCCTGGAAATACTGTCAATATCAGAATTTCCGGAAATTAAAGAATCACCGTAAACTCACGCTTGGGAACGTGTCCCAAGTGTTGAATTTGTGCTCCATGTTAAAGATTAATTACCAGAGTTTAATACCTTGATATGATTGTACAATTAATTTGTGTCATGGAATGATTCTCCTCACCTTGTTTGTCTTGCTACATCCATGTAGTTGAGTAGATTACTCATCTGTTTAAGATTTCTCTGTCGTTCATGTTTGACATAATTGGAAGTAATATTAAATTGAAAAAGGCTCCTTGTACCGGGGGGGTGTACAACCCCC